AATAAGTTCAGAGAATGATAAGTACTGTATGACCTCACTTATATGTGGAATAAAAAAACCCCCAAACTCATAGAAACAGAGTAGAATGGTGGTTGCCATAGTCTGGGGGAGTTTGGGGATATAGGAGCTGTTGGTCAAAGGGTATAGACTTCCAGTTATAAGATGAATAAGTCCTGGGGATCTGATGGACAGTGTAGTGACTATAGTTAACCAGCACTGTTTGTATACTTGAAAGCTGCTAAGAGTGGATCTGAAATGTTTTTCCATACATCAAATGGTAAGAGTGAGGGATGTGTTCACTAACTTTATTGTGGTGATCATCTCATGATGTACACCAGATCATCACATTGTACACCTGAAACTTCAACTGACACAATGTTACATGTCAATTATATTTCAGTAAAGCTGGAGAGGGGAACAATACAGCCAAGGACTTCCAGTGGTCTGTGAGCTCCCTATTGGGAACCATTGATGTTCATAACATTGCCTCGCCAGTGAAGGTACGTAGAAAGTATTTGGCTCCGGCAAGTGTGTGGCAAATGTTGTGAAATTATTAAATGTTTATTTGATTCCATTTGTAACTAAGTTTTTTGAATAGACAATATATGGTCCAAAATTTTGAAAGTATGAAAGAGATATTCAAGGTTTAAATGAACCTATATATACACTATGCAGGAATTGGTTAGTATTCTTACTATTTTTCATCTCTCTGCCAATCAAAAGTGTGAATGATCTTAGAATGGTATGTAGAGCATACGGATGACAATTTTTGTGTTCCTTGTCACAGTTGACTTCAAATGCCAGTGAGGCAAATTTTTAGAAGCATGGATAAATAAATTCAGCATGATAATCACCTACATATACCTACATGGATTCTCTCTTGTCAGCAGTAACTGAGTTTTGGATAGAGGACTCCCAATATTGACGAGAAAACACATGATGTGCTGGTTTGAATGGATCTTCAGTAAATCGTAGGCATGTTGCTTGCTGCATGGCATAGCATTTCAACATATTCAATCCAGGAATTAGATTTGTGTTATTGGGAAGGCTTCAGAGAGAACAGATGTGAAACGCTAAGCCAAATGATCGTGTGAGTTTTTCACATCTGTCCCCTTAATTTTCTGTATTTTTGCTTCATTATCTGCATCGTTGGAATGCTGTATCTGTCATATGCCAACAGATGGCAATATTATAAGATCATTTTTTCAAGATGGTTAAAATGAATGACATTCTCTGCTGCTCCCAGAACAGAAGGAAAAAGATCTTTAGTGGTTGTCTCTTTGAACACAACAACTTGTTTTTCTAAATTTTTCATAAAATATTAGCAAGGTTTTTTTTTTTTTACCTCCTACTGCCTCTTCTTAACTAGTTTTCCTTTTGCTTAACTTTGATTTTATATCTAAATCTACCTTTGCTGTAATCTATGTGCAGATTTTGATGTATCTCCTAATAATGAAAGCAAAGTATATAGCTATCAGTGTAACCATTATTAATTAAGTAGTACTAGGTATATAAAATATTTGTCAAATGAAATTTATTTGTTTTTTTTTGAGAGCAAAATGTAAACAAATCACACTTATATTGTCCCTCCTTTTTTTTTCTTTTTAAAGAAGTCAATTTTTAGCTAGCAGAAGTGTTTTTATTTTAGAACCATGTGTTTGTTTAAAACTTGTGACAACTCCAAGAAAGTAGATGCTGTCCTGTGGATACTAAGCTGATCTTCTCACTGAGTTAAGAATCCTGTAAAATCTGAGCCCTATGATAGAACCTCGGAAGACATTTAAGGAGCTCTGAGTTTTGGATGTTGGGATGAGCTTTGAGAAAAAGGCATAAGATGAGAGAGAAATACAGTTGAAGGCATCAAACATGCATTGTTGCCTGAAGAGTCCTTATCCGTCTGCACCAGGTGATGCAGTCTTAAGCCCTACGATCCCATAACTCCTCTTTATTTGTCACTTTGCTGGCCCCTTTCCTTCTGCTCAGCTACCCTCTGGGCCCTGGGAGTATCTCACTGGACATCTCTTCCTGGGGGATGTCATCCATGTCTATCAATAGATTTTCAGATATCAACCATATATCGGAGATCAAAATTTATCTCCAGGCCTGATCACTCTTGGGACAACATTCCTGCATTTCAACTGTCTCCTAAACTCTTAGTACTTGATGGGTTCACCCACTGGTACCTCAATGCAGTATGCCTGAGAGAGTTATGTCCCTCACAAACCAAGTCCAATTTCACGCAATCATTTCCCACAGTGTGCAGGCTAGAGAACTTTTCTAAAGTGAGTCCCTTAATATCTGAGTGCCCGGGGGTGGCTGGTTAGCTCAGCTGATTAGAGCGTGGTGCTACTAACACCAAGGTTGCTGGTTCAATCCCCGTATGGGCCACTGTGAGCTGCACCCTCCTTAAAAAAAAAATGGAGGTGTAAGGAGAACTGACTCTGGGTGGTGAACACACAATGTGATAAATAGATGATGTATTACAGAATTACACACCTGAAACCTTTGTAACTTTACTAACAATTGTCACCCCAATAAACTTTAATTAAAAAAAAAAAGCCATGAATTGTTGGCGAAAAGTTTAGGTCATCCAACTTTTTCACGCAGCTTTTTCAGCACTTCCAAATAGTAAACTTGGTTAACTGTTTGTCCAGTTTGGTGCAAATTCATGATGAATAATCCCTCTGATATCAAAAAAGTTTAGCAACATCGTTGCAAAAAGTTCGCAAACTTAATTGTCAGACCTTGTACTGGGAAGGTACCTGCAAGAAAGTTATGGAGTTCTGGAAAAATTCTATGTGCTCGCCACTTCTGTTGACATTTGTGGAATCTTGCCTTCTTGCTTTCTCTTCCCACTGAGCATCCTTTCTCCCCCCTGGGACAGTGGCCCTGTTGTTCCCAGACCGTGTGTACCTTCCCTCTTTCTGGACCACCCTCCTGCAATGTTGATGCGTCTCACATCTCTTATCGGGATAGATGTCATTTGCAGCTAAAATTGAGTTTAAAACCTCTCTTTTTTGTACACACCGCACATTCTGTATTTTCTCCATTTATCACACTTACGACGCTGTGCGTCAGTGCCCTGTTCATGCGTGTCTCCCCACTGGAGTGTCATTTCTTTGAGGGCAATGTCGTGGTCACTGCTGTAGCTCAAGTACATGGATGATATATATATATATATATATATATATAAAATCAATTCAGAGCATTCTATTGTAATAAATCTTCCTACTTCCTGTCTCATTCTCAACTTTTTGTCTCCTTCTCAATCCAAGTCCTTTCTAGAATTCCTCTCTTGTTATGTTTATTACTCTCCCCTGAGCTTTCAGAATGGAGGCTAGAACCAAACACAATGGGTTCGCTGCTTGGAGTGTCTGAGCCAAAGGGACACAAAAGTCTTGTTGGAAGAAAAAGTTTTTATTTTTACTTGTGACAAGTAAAGGAGGCAGGGGAATAATTTCCCAAGCTCTGCTTCCCCGAAGGGAGGCTTAGCCATTGCTTATATATACTGTTTGGTTAATTACATGCTGATTTCTCCTTTGCAGTTGGCTAAACTTACCCAGTTGTGGTTCCCGTCAAGCTCATCCGGTTGCAGCTGCGTCTGCAAAATACTGTGCTACATTTTAGCATTTAGCAAGAATAGCATTTAGTAGACTCGCCCAGACCTTGAGACCCTTGTCTTATCTAACACAAGGACTCTGAGAGCTCACTCCACTTTACCTCACCAGCTGTATTTCCAACCCCTCTCTCTCAACCACCCTTTGTCCAGGAACCAGCCCCCTTACTATCCTAAACATGTTAGGTACTCTTATGCTTCCTGGCTTGTGTCCGTGCTTTTCCGTCTGCCTTACATGCCACCACTTAGGCTCTTTAAGGCCCAGTTGCAACATTCATTCATCCTACAGATATATTTAACTTTCTACTAGTTTCCAGGGACTCTATGTGCTGAGATACAGAGGTGAGCAAGATGGAAGATCCCTGCTCTCACGAAGTCTGTATTCATATTTCAGTGTAATGGAAATAACAGACAATTAAATAAGCAAGATAATTAATTGCTGAAAAATGTTATGAAGCAAGTGATTTTATATGTTAAAGACTAATCTGTAGAGCATGTTTTAAAAGCATGTGGTTGTTGGCCGATGTTTTAATTGAAAGCATCTTATTGGTTTAATTGAGCTTTTAAATTAAATTATGAGACCTTCCACATCAAAATCCCTATGTCTTTTACGTGTTGATTCTTTCAATGGCTTAAAAATATTTTTCTTAATGCAACTTTTACAAACTTTCAAATATGGGATAGCACAGATAAATCAGACTTCAGGTGAGAGAGGTTAGCTATACTTAATACTTCCATACAGCATTTAGGATTTTTAATCATCCACCTCGAAATAGGAAATCAAAGAGGCAGTACGATACACAGAAAGAGCAGTAGTAGGTCTTCAGTCTCATTTCAATCCCTAATTCTTCTGTTAGCTAATGCTGAGACCTGGAATAATTCACCTAGCTTATTGTGCTCATCTATAAAAGAGATACTATAAAGTTGAAAATATCTCAATTCTTTTCCTATGTTCAAGTTTTTTGATCAACTGCAGCAAGCAGGAATAGACAGGATGCTATCTGACTTAAAAGAAATTTTATTAGTGAAATTTTGGCTATCTCTATAAAAGCAGTTAAGGTTTACCATTTTTTTTTTTTGCTCTGCTGTTTTTATGTTACTGTAGTACTTATCTCAACATTGCTAACTCCAACCACAGATTCTCAGGCCTCACCTAATTTGACTGAGCTATAGCTTTTAACCAGTTGACCATTTCCGCTTCCTTGCTGAACCCTTTGTCATCACTCTTTCTATTCCCCTTCTACTTTACTGACTACCCCCAGTCTCCTTGCCCCTTTCTCTTTATCCTCTTGCCTTCTAAAGAGTCATGTCCTCAGGGATAGACTTCACTTCTCTCTGTTATCTGTATTTATCCTAATGATCTTGTATTAGTTATCTATAGCTATATAAAAACTTAACCCCAGATTAGTAGCGTAAAACAATACATATTTATTATCGTACAGTTTCTGTGGACCAGGAACCTGGGCACAACATAGCTGGGTCCTCTAAGCTAGGATTTCTCATAAGGCTGCTATAATGGTGGCAGGGGAGACAGGTCTCATCTGAAGGCTTGACTGGGGAAGGGTGTGGATGCAAGCTCACATGGGTGTTGGCAGGATTCATTTCCTTGGTACTGTTGGAATCAGGGCCTCAGTTCCTAGTTGGCTACTGGCTGGAGGTCACTCTCAATTTATTGCCAGGTTAGCATCTCCAACATGGAAGATTACTTTATCATCCTTTAAATAAGATAAACATCTACCTATTCCTGCTTGCTATAATTAAGCATAAAATTAGTTATGTGTCATAGGCATCTCAAATTTAACATGTCCAAAACTGAATTCTTGATTTGCAACCTACTGTCTCACCCTAAATGTGTTCCTCCGGTAGTTTTTGCCTTCTCAGTAA